TTATAATATAATTATTTTTCTAATCTTAATAGTCTTTATTTAATATTATTATATTATATAAAAGTTATTTAAAAAGTATTGAACGGAATGGTTTTAAATTAAATAATTTTATATAGTTTTTTAAGAAAATAAAATGGAAACTCATATTTTTAATAAATAAATATAATTATATAATTAACATATTTATTTACATTAAAGTAAAAAATTAAATATAAATATTTTTATTGAAATATTATAGAATATTATATATAAAAAACTATATATTACCTTCTTCTTAAAAAATTTTTCTTTTTAATACTTTATTTCCTTATAATTAAACTTATTATATAATTTGCAAAGATTATTATAATTATTATAAATTAATAATTAATATAGCTTAATAGAGGAAGCTTGTATATATTAATATTATTATAATTAATAAAATATAAATTTTACATTAACTATAATATAATTTTGAAAATTAAAAAGGATTCCAATTCTGATTTTATTATTGTATATATAATAAAGTACAAATAAAGTTTCATTATTTTATATTTCTACAAATTAATTAAAGTTCTCCTAATATCTAAATATAATTTATAAAGTATAATTATAAATATATAATAAAATATACTCTCAATTAACGTTAGTTAATCGTAATTAATAATTATTTATATATACTTTTAATAGTTTTTTCTAATATTCTATAATTTTCCCAATTATAAATTATAAATAAATACCGTAGGTACTTTATATTAATATATAAGAGATAGAATATAACGAATGTAAATTTGTAAAATTTATAATAGGAGGTGCATATTATTATAAAGTATATATTTGGTATTTTTATATATTTTTCTTCCGCTTTAAAAGCGAAGATTTGGCCGCCTTACGCCTCTTCTTATTTTCTATTAAGACTTCTTCTATTTCCTCCAATTTACTAAGAGTTATTTTATTTATTATCTTATCCTTATTCTACTCCGTCTACAATTCCTAAATATCCTCCTCCAACTCCTTCTTCTTCTTCTATTTTATTATTTTAATTTTAAACGAATATTTACTATCTAAATTCGTATAATAATAATATATATACGTACCGTCTAATACTCTATAAGGTAGAATAATAGATTATTTAATCGGTTGTAAAACTATAGTATAAATATATTTAATATACTCCTTTCCCTCTATATTTTTTCTTAATTTAAAAAGATAATTAATAATAATAATTATATTATCCGGTATTTAATCTTCAAATTAATAATTTTCTAAACCATATTCTTTATAACTTTATAAGCGTTCCATAAACGTACAATTTTCCATTAATATTAATTAAAATTAAATACTTTTAATAGTATTTAAATAATTTTAATATACAGAATTTTCATTAATTATTTTAAGTATAATACTTATATTATATTCTTAGAGTTTTTGTTAGAAAGTACGCTATTTACTATTTAAATATTATAATATTATCCTATATTTAAGCGGGGGTAAGTAGGTTTTAACTTTAAAAAGTCTATAGTATTGGTATTTTAGTATAATTTATAAGGCTAGTATAGACGCCTAATATTTAAAATAAGAACTTTAGAAAAACGTAAGGAAAACGGTAGTAGAGTAGTAGCGGGGAGTGATATAGAATAATTAGAATTAATTATATAATATAAAAATATAAGAGGATAAATATATAGTAATTAATTTAGTGGGGAGGAATATACGTTCGTTTATACGTAGAGTATTTCTAGTTTACCCTATATTTAACTATAAGTAAAAGTTCGAACTAATTTATAAATAATTTAATACGTATTTAGGCTATTATAGATAGAAGATTTAGGGTAAGTATAAATAGTTGTAGCAATTTATAAATTTTTACTAAAATCTAGCCGAATATAAAAAGTATAATTATAAAACTATATTTTACAATTATTAAAATTGGGTTTTCTCTATAGCTCTATAGCGGCTCCGAATATAATTTTAATTTTAACAAATTTTATAAGTAAAGGTTTAAATTGTATTTACTAGGTCTAATATTAATTCTACTAATTAAAAAACCTTTCTAATCTTATTTCTAAGAAATAAAAAAAAAGAGAATATACTGTCTATACGAATATAATTATTTAAATATTTAGCTAGGAGTAAATTTATTAAAAACCTAAATCCTATTAATTTTACGTGTTTATTTAGGGATTTTTATCTATCTATTTAAATATTATCCATTAAGAGATAGCTTTTTAGCTTTTATAATTAAAGTTATTATAATATAAAGCGTAGGAGAAGAACTATTTTATATACTAGATTTTTCTCAATATAGAGCCTAATAAATATCTAACCTATAAGCTTTCGTTTAATATTAATAATAATTTTTGCTAAATAATAATAGTAGGGAGAATAGAGAAGAAGAAAAGTTAATAAAAGAGGAAGAAGGATAGGCTTTAAATAGACAGAAAGCTTTAAACTATATTTCTAATATTTTTTCGTCTTTCTTGCCGCCGGCTGTACTATAATATAGATATTTAAATAAAGGTAAGAATACCTACTTCGAATTTAATATCCGAATCCGGCTTTCTAATAATCCGGCTATACTATATATATATATTTTTCAATAAAATATAATTCTTTCTCCAATATATATTAGTATATATTTTGTAATTATAATTCTTAGCCTTTTAAGAGTTAGGGTAGGTACTTTAGCAATAAATAGGTATAGTTCCCCTATATCCGGGTACCTACTTCCAATCCTTTTCTATATAGAGGTAATACGTACTAAACTATAAGGATTACCTCCCAAATCTCATCTGATAAAGGTATTTACCTTCATTTGCTCTAATCCTTTATTTTTATATAATTTATTTAGAATATCCGCGATACAAACCCTTTTATTTATATATATATACTTCAATCCCTTCTCCCTACTAAATAAGGTAGCTATTAAACCTATTCTTAATTCTCAACTAATAATTTCCTAATCGCCCGAAATCGTTTTATACTCCTTTTATAAATTTTATAATAGGTACTTCTACTTAAATTTAGGTCGGATGGAATATTTATATAGCTTAGGCCGTTCTATTGTTTTTAAATATACTTCGGAGCGATTATAATTAAAGAAGGGGATTGAAAATAAATTGAATACGGATAGCCTAGTACTATTCGTTAGTATTGAGAAATAATATTATTAAATTATAGCATACTTTATAATAAATTAGAAATATATTTATAAAAATTTAATAAATATTATTAAATTTAGAAAATATGTAGAATTATAAATATAAAGTATAATAAAGATTTGTAAATACTTATAAGAAGATGCTAAAAGTATATTATATTTAACCGTAGTAACTAAAAGTATCCAATTTATTCTTTAATTTAAATAAGCCCTTATTAAAGCTAACGCCGGTTTAACGTTATAAATATTAGTAATATAATACCTTCGCCGCCCAACTACTAATTTTAATTCCTATTTCTTCTCCGCTACTTATAATTACGGGCGTTGTATATTATCTTTAATTATTAATTAATAATTATTATTTAATTACTAAACTAATAATAATTTCTTTTACTACTAGGTTTAGGGGGAGACTACTCAATCGTTTTCTCCGTCCCCTTTTTCCCTTCCCTTCCCTATTATAACTTTATTTAACGGAATAATACGTACTTCTAATATATCTTAATAATATAGAAATTAATTTACGCCTTCTTCAATTTAAATATAACCATTTATACTATAGCCTCCTCGGACCCAACGGGCTAATTTAATTATCTTAAACTTTTATTACTACTTAAACTATTACTATAGTAATAGTAGAGTAGAAGATAGCTACTTTAATAGTAGGTAAGAAGAATTAGGGTATTTACTTAACAAAAGGCCCGGGAAGAGCGAGACGGATGTAAACCGGAATAATAATTATATTAATATTCTAAATTACCCTAATCTAAATATCCTATTACCTACTATTATTAATATAGTATTATAATTATGATATACAAATGCGTATAGGAACTATTTAAATTCTCTTTCCTAGTACAAGCCGGATATTCCTTACTTATCTATCTATTATTCAGACTTAAGGACTAGAACGAAGTTCTATATATTTTATAGCTTTAATATAGTTACTTATTTATACTCTTTTATTAGTAAGCGCTTATTTTTATATTCGAAAAATATAAGGATAGAGGTTTCTTTTTTATAGGCCTTAATTTTCTTAGCTTATTTATAACGTAGGTTAAGGATGTAATCCGCAAAAGAAAGGAAAGGGTAAAAAATTAAATTACTATTTCTATTAAAAAAGTCTTTTATTAAAGAGGGCGCCCTTTACCGAAATATAAGGTTAATATTACTAGAGGTAGTTAAACCAAGCTAATATAAAGTACTTTAATATTATAAATTCGAGAAAAGAGGCCTCTTGTAATTAATAACCTTTTTATTTTTAGGTATAGAATTAAATCCTTATAATTACCCTTTATTATAATTAAAATACGTACCTAACCTACCTCTTATTTTACTACTTCCTAAAATATTAGAATACTTTAACCTAGTTCCTAAATATAGGGTAGGCGCCGCGTTACTCTTTGCTCCAATTATTCTAGAATAGGATAGAATAGTAAGCGAGAAGCAAGTGCGAATAAAATCGACGGATTATATATTTTAGGTATAGGGCGAATTATAGGAGGTCTAGATTGCTCCGGTATTGTACGGTAAATACCTAATAGTCCGGGCTATACCTTCTACTTTAATTTGTATTAATTTTAAGAAGTAGAAATATAATTTCCGTTAGTAATAAATATACCTAATTAAACCGCTAATAACGGGGGTACCTCTGTAAAATGCATTTTCGATCTATATATAGATTCTCAGAGGCGGGTACTCGCGTCTCAATGTATAGTTATAGGAAATCCCCCCTTCATTTTCCTCTTCTTTCTTCTTCTTCCATTTTCAACTGAAGTTTACTATTGAGATTGGAAACGATTCGGCTAACCGGCTGGGTGTTGCAACTTTGATTCTTCCCCTGTTCCTCCACAACATTGCAATGTCGGATGCTCTTCGTATGTTGTACAGTCCTATCTGAGCTCGAGACTTGGGTCAACTTCCCTAGGCCCTTTTGTGTTGAATTGATTCATGTCGTTCCCTTATATACGCGACCGGCCGCAAGGCTACTATAAAAGCTCTTGAATTCTTCGAAACTCCTCTCTCCTTTCTTCATCACCATCACTCAAGTTTTGGTACCTAATTTTGGCAATCACATCATCATCAAAAACATCATGTCCTCGACATCCATGTGCCTCGGACTCTGTTGTCATCTACATCATCACCTTCGCCTTCACTTGAGAGTTGAGACGGCTTGATAGGCATGAATCAGCTCTGGGGTTTGTAAGTTGACTTCCGTTCGCATTCCATTCATTGTTGGCTTCCCTTCACCATTTCGTGTAGGAATATGCTAATCGACAACGCAGCCAGTGACCAGATCTAGAGAACGAGCTGTTACCCCCAACACGCCCACCACTTCAGTCCGAGTCGACCCCGATGCTATTGGAGTAGATGTGGAGGACGCCACGTATGACACTCCATGCAGACACCCACGAAATCGTAACGGGCAGCACAATTATGGATCCCCAAAGCACCAGCACCCCGTTCGGCGCCCCCGCTGCCACCGATACTGAGGCCGGTGCCTGGGGCACTTCGGATCTTCTACTCCCGACGAACAATTTGTCCCTCCCAAGCTTGCGGCCAGTCAACATCATACCGTAAACAAACAAACTATTGCCCGCTGCGGTACTTCAAATGAGCGGGTGAGACCTTATGCTCGCTCTTGGTTGCAGGTGTTTGGTACATGTGTGGAACAAGAATATGAGGGCATTTGTCGTGGATACCTCTCTTCTGGTTGAGTTGCGCAGAACTGAAGGATAACCTGAAATCGGATGAGATCCAGAAGACGAACCTCGTACTTGCGTGCGGGAGAATGGGAGATGCTGTGTTGCTTGAAAACATAAGGAAGTACTCGATCGGATGTGCTGGGATCCTGCCTGTCTGTGTATCGTATATACTCGGGCCATCCGTTCTTGGTTTCCTGGAAATCAGGAATAGTTTGTAAGCATACTGCAACATTCATGCCCGCCAGAAATTGTATGCATGCTGGTGAATTTGACTGTCCCCACTCGCCAACACTATCGAAAACACAAAGCAAAAAGACAGGGCACCAGAAGAGTCGGATTTACAATAAACCTCGATGCTTCGGGGTCACAATACGTCTCTCCCGCTACATGTATTTTCTGCGGGCAGAAATGGTGCACATTCGGACTTATATATATCTGATCATGTCTGATATCCAAGGAACCGTACAATCTTGGGCCATTGGTTTTCAGGTTCCAGGGGAATCAGGCATAAGCAGACATACATATGCCCGATTCTGTACATTTTATGCACGCAAAAAAGAGTAGGAGAGCTATATTGCCACCCCGGAGCTCTGTAAATTCGATTCATCTAGATCTCTACTATTTCCCACCTAATCCTTCAAGGGAGTTGGAGGGTAGGGACATTCAGCATCACCGCCTTGCATAGAATTTCTAGTAGGCACAAATATTGCAGTATGCTTCCTGTTTATGTCTGATTTCCCTGGAACCTGAAAATCAATGGCCCGAGATTATAAGGTACCTCTACCGCCTGAAAGTTCTATGTGCATTTTACTCGAATATGCACACGTATGGTATGCCGGAGAAGCAGGAAGTCCAACTCGGATACCGGATTCGAAACCAGTTAGGCAAGATATATATGTGCTTCCGCTTTCACACCTCTAAATACCGTAGAGGTCAAGTACTTAAAGCCTACCCGCCATTCCTTTCTCCCTCCTTTACCAAATGATTTTGTCATACATTCTCCCCAACATCCACACATGCACTAAACCTACCTCTACGTAACCTTCAACTTACGCTCAAACCAATTCTCTCACGTCGTCCAATCCGACGATTCTCCCCGGGTATCGCGGCGCCGTTTCCAACGACGAAGACGGATCCATCCAACAGCCTGCCACCCAATATAGCAATAAAATTGTCCTTGACGCCGAACACCCCCTGCGCCACTCCTCACAGAGTAACAGCAATGCCTACGATGGCTTCTCCCAGTCTGGAGGCAACCAGTTTCGCGCCCCGTCCGACCGACAACTTGAGCTTTGCGGTCGGTATAATGCACCGTACTACCGATTTTACGAAGATTGGAACACGCAACTTGTCTATGATCTCCATGAAAAGAATAGCAACAATGCCTGGAAATACTCTTTTCAAAAGATGAGTTACTCTCTTCGCTCTTGGTTATACCATTTCACCGAAGAAACACTTCAACAGCCACCTCCTCAACCGCCCGTTAAGCTCAGGCCTCCCCCAGAAGCGATCCGGAAGTTCACATCTGTTCTCGTCTCTCAACATTATCCTGTCGAAACAAACTGAAACGTCGCCAAGTCCACCCACAAATACGAGACTGTTGAGGCGGAATGGTATATGGAACTTCGCCATTTCTTCGTCGATCTCCCTACGCAGCTCACTGAGCTGGAGGAGTTTCTGAACGGAACGTCCTCTGCGTTCTCCACCAACGACAACGAAGAAAACAAGGCCGACACGCGCGCGCTAGCCAACTGGACCTCTTATCAACTACCCGACGCCTTTGCCGGCCGTCATCCCGTCTACGCCTACCCACGCGCTCGCTATCCCAATCTCCGCTACGCCCGGCGGATTGTCTTCTCGCAACGTCTAGACATCCAAGACAACCACGACCAGTCTGACGATAACAGCAGGTGGCTGACAGGCCGCTGGCTCGTGGTGGCCTACCTTTTTGCTCCGACCCGCAAAGCAGTCAAGAAAATGGACGTGAAGAGTCTACTACTCTCTGCCTGCACCCCTGCTGGCCATGGTACATTTAGGAACACAAACACAATGTCGTGTCTCAACGCCTACAACCCCATCGGGGATGTACATATGAGATCCATGCAGCCCGGCGCAGGAGAGTGGTGGTTGCTACCGAGAGAAGATATCTTCTTCCAGCTCCAGCGTTGTGACGATGAGATGCTCGCCACAGCCTTCATATCCCAAGATCCCAACGACTATGACGGACCATATGTCCATCGTCGGAATGATCACGATTCCTCCACTCCCGACTACAGACGCCACATGGAACGGCGGCTGGAGGACATAGAACGGCGGCTGCATGACATGGAATGGGCGCGACCTCTCCCATTTGCATGCGTCCATGGCCATGGAGTCGGCGGAGGTATCCTTTCGGGACTCAACGGCCGTTGTAAGTTGGTGGATCGGATGTGGCCTGCTTTGATGACGGGCCAGGACATGAAGACGGCATGGGATGCTTGCAGTACTACCTCCAGCATTTCTAGCACCTGCTGGACCCCGAGTAGTACATCTAGTACCTCTTCCGAAGAAGATAATACCACCTCTGACAATGATGACGACGGCGACGAAGATGGCGACGGGAAGGGCTCTTTCGGCTTTATCTTCAGGATAGTGATCGGCTTGGTCGCTATTACTGGTGCACTTCGCGAACTTGCAATCTCTTCTGGGGACGAGCTTTCGTCTTCTTCGCCACGATGCCTCTTCGAAAGATGAAAGGTGGATTTGATCTCAAAGAGCACGTGTGAGGTACCTCTACTGGATGGAAGGAAAAGGTTAGGTGTACCTTAGTGTTGCTGGAGGGAAGCACGGACAAGAGGGAAATGGAACCTAGAGGTAGGTATGCTTGGGATTCAAGTAATGTTACTTTTGGATGTGGTGCGCTTTCTACAAACTACAACTACCTCTGCCTAGATAGGGAGTGGCAAGTTTCTCGACAAGCCATGGTTTCCAAACACACAAATAAGGCAAAACAATACATGATCTCTCAAGTTTCGGATTTCCACAACCGGCATTTGATCACTACAGTAGTTGCTGTTCTACCTTTTGGGCATTGTTATGATACCCTTAAAAGTTAGAGTATCTCGTAGTAAAGTTGCTTTAGTCCTGCTCCGCTGGTTTACACCCACACAGGTAGATACATTACCGAACGAATATAAAAACAGACCGAGCATGGACAATCTTCTACGTCTCACGTATTACAAAACGGTGAGATACCCACGTACTAAACACATCACCACATTCCTTACTGGTGACCATTCGTGGTCATGGCAATACCTGCAATGTTCCGCCGCCGGCCTGGGTGAGGGCGCGACGGTGGGCGCCGCGCGCAGGAGACGCCCATGTCTCTTGTTGGGATCGAAACGCAACGAATGGTCATCTTCTGACCGGACATCTTGGGAGAGCCAGGAGCAGACGCCTTTGCAGGCACTGGCCGAGACAAGAGTTGGAGGTTGTTCTGTGGGAAGGTACACTCCAGTGTGATGATGTGGAAGACCTTCTCCAGCAGCATAAGTACAGGTACCTAGATGTACCTAGGTACCAAAGCACTGCAGTGCAGAATATGCGACATCTGACCGGGCTACGCCGTGGAGGCAGCAAACAACAAGACAGAAGGTGAAGAAAAGGAAGGTTCAGCTTTAATTCTGGAAGCGGGAAGCAAGTAGTGGAAGTAAGTGTACCTCTCGAAGGTGAAGGCATCGGGCCATGTGCAGGATGCACTCGCTCTGTCGACAAACAAGAAGTGCAGTGATTTTAGCGGAGGATCGTGACTGCCCGGTTTACTTGCCTTGCCCCCCCCAGCTGAGAGATGCCGTCATCGCTCTTGCCTTTTGTAAACAGGCCGCAGAAAGCGCTTCGTTGTGTCCACTAGTAGACGAAGGAATCTCACCGCTTATGAGATGGAAGGCACCAAACTTGTCATTGCGGGAGTCCGTCGCATTCCCCCCGCCTGCTACCTCGACCATTGACACCGAGTCTTTCCGTTCTTAAGGTTGGAGTGAGGACACGATCCGGCACGTCGAAGGAGGAACCATGCTAAGTCAGGCATCATAAACGAAGGAAAGGAACAATACCTTACCTATTGGGTGGCTTCAGGTTGGCTTGTCCGACGGGGGCCGTGCCTTCCCTTGGATTTTCTGAAGCTACAAGTCATATCCCATACCCCTACCAGATACAGCACGCTTTACCAGCTCAGTTGGGGCACCCAGAAAGCTATAAGATCCCTCTCCCCGCCTCAGCTTTTCGTCGGTTTCTTTCTCGTCGGCATCACATCTTCATTCGCTTCAACATATCCATCATCATCACCATCACCCTGATGACTGCCTTACGGCACAAGGTCCTCTCGTTCCTCTCTATTCCTCGCTAGCCGGAAACAGTCGACTCCCACGACAACACGTCCCGCGAGACCACGAGCGCAATGTTTCAGGAAGATCCCTCTCCCCCCGGCCCAGCCGTTCGTTCGATTTTTCTCTCTTCAACATCATTCACATCATCGCCGTTCGTTATTTTTTGGTCGCTGTCGTTCACCAATGCTTTCGTCCATCATGATCCCCACAATCCTTTCGTTCGCCGGGCATCATCCATATGTCTTGGTATGGTTTCCAGTGTTCGCCATTACATGGGCCTTTACCTTCCCCCCATCTTGTTTTTGGCCCCTGTAAGTCCACCTCTACTTTCCATTCCCATTCATTCTTGTTCCTTCCTTTCGCCTGTCTTCTTCTCTCCTCAACAACTCGCCTTGTCCTCTCAATCCTCTCTATTCCTCGCTAACCGGAAACAGCCGGCTGCCATGCGCCCACGTCCCAGGTGCCCGAGACCCGAACCAAGAAGAGCCATGGCCGCCTTGCCCTCCCCGGGCCCACTAGCTTCAACCGTGGGTTAGGGATGAGTAGGTCAATGTTATTCCCAGGTCACGGAATCCATTACTGACAGTTGCACAGAGCGTGGCCGGCCTTTGAGATGTCGCTGGAAGCTGCAAACAACCTGGCAGGAAGAGCAGCCCCGTGAAGCTGGGAGCGGCGCAACGGATCCAATACCAACATCTCATCACACATTCATGACCAACATCGCTTTCATCTTTTCATCCACAATGTCCGAGTGCGTGACAGTCAACACTCTCGTCGCAGCCTTGGCGCACAAGGTCTTCCTCGCCAACATATGGCTCCTCGTGTTCTCCGTCAACATACTCTCGTCAAGACCTCCGGGTGTCCATCGCATTCCCCTACGTACCTCGACCATTGACACCGAGTCCTTCCGCGCCACTTCTACCGAAGAAGGAACCATCGGCATCATCAAGGGAAAGAATACTATAGGTGCCTTCAGGTTAGCTTCTCCGCTGGAAGTCATGTCCCAACGCACCACTGACAAAACAAAGCAACAGCTGCTGCCCCTACCACAGACAGCACGCTTTTCCAGCCCAGTTGGGGCACCCAGAAAGCTATAAGATTCCTCTTCCCCTGGCCCAACCTCTCGTCAGATTTTCTTTCTCTTCAACATAGTTAAGAACTTTGTTTTTTTTTAAACAACGAACATTCTTTTTGCTTCCATCCCTTCGCTCCACCATCCCTTCGTCCCATCATTTTTCCATCCCAACCAACCCTTCAACATGTGGATGTCTGTTTTCCAGACGCTCTGGGCCCTCGCGGAGCCCGTTCTCATGCCCAAGGTCGTCAATTAGAATTCCTTTCTCTTCAATATAGTTAGTAACTTTGTTATATCCCCAGCCACAGCCCCACCAGCCTCACAACATGGCCTCCGACTGCATAAACGCTTTCTTAATCGCTATCCTCCCCAAACTGCTCTCTGCTGGGGTGTGGCTTGTTGTGTTCGCTTGGAATTTTTTCTGGGCCCGGCCGAGTTGGCCGCTACTGTAAGTCTATATTATATCCCAATTGGTTTTTATTTTTGCCTTTCTCTTCTCGTCTCCTTACAATTTACCTCATCCTCTCGGTCCTCTCTATTCTTTACTAACTAGAAACAGGCGGTGGCCACGAGAACATGTCCCCTTCCGGGTCCAAGAACTAGGCGAGGTACTAGCTCGCTACCAACAGCAGCAGCAGCAACAGCAGCAGCAACAGCAGCAGCAGCAGCAGTCCCGGCCGCAGACACCTCGAGCTTGGCAGCCTCAATCAATAAGAGATGTGGCCCCTGTCAACGCTAGCCCTGCCGCTGCTGCCCCTGCCGCCGCTGCCCCTGCCCCGATCAACACGCCCATCTCCATGGACCGTCTTACAGTTGACTTTGGCAATTTAACTTTTTCCTGCCGCGGAAGTATCACCGGACAGGCTCCGGTTGATAATAATACGCAACGAGACGACGAACTAGCACCCGCCAACGCCGCCCCTACTAACGCCGCCGCCGCCCCTACTAACGCTACCGCCGCCCGGGAGCGCCCAGAGCCCTCGTGGCGGCCTTAGGTCCCCGACGAGTAGGTCAATGCTATTCCCAAATTATAAAATATATCGCTGACAGTTGCACACCAGAACCTTCCCGGCCGTTCTCTTTACTATAGAAGCAGCGAATGCTGTTACACAAGGCATCTCGAACTGGAAATAGCCATTCACTTTCCACCTCGACATCATGGGAACTTCGGGCCGGTTGTTTGGCTTTGATGGGTCTTGTCACGCTTCCGTGAGTGCTGCGATCTTGTCACGCTTCCGTGAGTGCTGCGATCTGTGCGAGGTGGAAATGACGGGCTAGAGCCGACACGGAAACGGGCAAGAAGAGATTGGTGTCGGGATAGTCTTTTCTGCGCAGTAGTGTAGGCGGACAGTACCGCATGGAAGTTTGTTTATTGGATTTGTTCCTGCCAAGAAACGTTTTGTCTGCTTGAGAAGGAGTCCTTAGATATTTGCAGTAATGTACCCCGTTTCCATTTTTGGAACGGCCTGTCGGGTACTTGAGGTATAGAGGTTGAAGAAGGACAAGGCGTCAATGATAAACCAGCTGGGATTGCTTCGTGGATTTGGGCTGTAAGAATACGAAAGGAGTTAGCGATAGTATAGCCATCCAGTCATGTACACAATGTTTGTCGTCCCATCTCGTTTTCCTTGTGTAGAGCCCTTGTACGTCTGTCAAACGCCCCGGGGATCCAATCGTTTCATGGGGCAATTCTTCAAAATAATAAAAGAAGAAGAAAAGAGAGAACAACGATCGAAACTTGCATTTGTCACCCAGAAGCATTGCACCCAGTCCTATCATTATTGGTGCCTCAATTTGGATGGAAAAATTGTGGAATTTGCTAAAAGAAATACCTATGATTCGCGGACGGCCCTGCTTGGCTGCTTGCTTGCTTGCTAGGTACTATGTCGATGTGCTGCGTAGAGTAGCTAGGTAGGATGTAATGCTATTGCTGTTACCTCGTGTTGTATATATATGTCGTGCGAGGTGAGGTATTGTATGCTGTATAGTGCTGTGTACCTCGGCCTGTTGGTCCCAAAGTAGGGGTAGGTAGGTAAGGTAGGTCAGTAAGGTAGGCAGAGGCAAAGTAAGGAAGGGATAGAATTGGCCACATGCAGTCTCTGTGACTTGGCCCCTTCATTGTAATGGGCGGGCATATATAGAGGTACATATGTCCTAGAATGTTTGAACTGCTTCCGGAATCCGAATGAACTCGCACTCCGTTACCTGACGCTTTGGTGAAATGTTGGAATCTCGAGTGTCAGTCAATCCTGGATTTGATTCAATTCACTGATATAATAATGATATGATATGATCCCACGAGTTCCAACATCAATTTACACATGCAGTATCCCTATGAACGGCGTCGTGCGTGTTACACAACCGTAAACTTGCCCGGCCTCCAAGTGGTGTTTGAATATTCAACCCTACATCTTTGTGTTCAATTCCCCCAAATGAACCCCATGCAGCAGCGGCTTGAGCGGCTCGAACGGTTCGAACGGTTCGTTAGGTATGTATTGCATCTGCAACTTTTTGCATCCTGCAGTGTGACAGGGTTATTCATGTATGTAGACGACCGGTCGGTATGTAGGTAGGTAGGTAGAGGTAGGCTACTAGACTAGCCAGCCAGCCTGCACGAGGCGATCACGGGGGCTTGCTTGCTGCACTTTGCCTTTGCAGGCTGGGACCAGGGCATGGCATGACATGGCAGAGCATGGCATCCACGCGGCTCGGGGATAGGGACGGGGACATGTACTGACGGGGACGGGGACGGGAAAGTTGCTGGTTACCCACTGTGATATGGCACGGGGAGTACAGCGTATTGTGTCTGTGTGTCTGTGTGTGATGGGATCGTATGAATATCAGGGGACAAACGGGAAAGAAAAGGAAAGGAAATATGAGAAAATAAGTGAAGGACCAAAGGAGTTGCTGCTCTTGTTCTAGACTCAAATCATTTGTGTCGTGATTGATTTCGTAAGCTTTCGTGGATTGGTAGCTCGGTGAAGATTCATGTTGGTTGTTGGTTGGGTCTTCTCTGGTGGAGAACAGGAAATCTAGATGGATCAAAAAAAGGCAAAGTTCGAGACTTGGCAATGCAAAAGGCTGTAAAGGGGCATGAATAAATGGAGTGTGTGGCCAATTTCACCCCCCATGTCTCCCGGATTATAGCGTAAGGCCGAGTATATGTGTACCGTTCGATACTGGTTGGTGTTTTTTCTTTCGAATGTCGAATCAGTTACTGATTATCTGGTTTTGACCATACCTAATGGGTTGGCATGTGTCCTCCTTGGGGTAAGAGCTAACAAACAAACTGGAATTGAACTGTCTGAAGATGTCAACAAGCAGCCTGTCAACGGATGTAATTTTCGTCTACTTGGGCGTTTATACCTAAGCAAGCAGCAAGTTCGTAAAAAAGAGCACGAGCAAGTCGACAGGGATATAGCAGATGGAAGCCAAATAACGAGCCCATTGAGCTCTTGAAATTGTTGTAGCCTCACCTTATCCGGCTTTGCTGGTCTCGAACGTCATCTTTTGTACGTACCCGGTCCCAGAGTCAACTTGAGGACTATCTTTGCTTTCCGGGCTGATTACTTAGGCTTCCGAATCCCAAATGGCCCCAAAGCGGCGCACACGGGTGTCTTCGGCGACTTGGACGGGAGGATTTGCTGTACATGATCACCGATCATCGATCACCATCATCGGCATGTCGACTTGTGTTTGACGTTCAAGGCGTGGAGCACCGACTGCGGAGCCTGTGGAGAGATGGATAGGTAGACTCCATCCGGAATCCGGGGTAAATTGCCGGATCTCAGCGGGTCCCGTCCGCGGAGAAAGGATGTGGATTTTCCGGGGCCCCCTTTGGCCCCCCGGTCCCGACTTCAAAGCGTGTGGTCTGTGTTGTGACTTGGAGTTCTGTTGAGATCCGTGTCAGCGTTGTCGGAGTGGGGGCGGGTGTCTAGGGCTTGGTCCATGCGCGGGGCATTGCAGGTGTTGGAGTTGGAGAAGCAAGCCCTCGTCGCCCCCCTCACTTCATGACCCCAAATCACCCAATGTACACTACATATCAAGAATGATCCTCTCGGTTCCCTCTTCTCTAGGGTTCTTGAAAGGGTCTTCTCCAAAACGTCACTTTTTGAGATACAGTCATGTTGGAGAAGCATTGCAGGGCAAATGGCAATTTACCGTACTGCTGCCCCAGCGGTTCAACTACGCTATCTCGATAGGTACATTCCTCTACCCCTCGCTAGCGATAAGGTACCTGAATCCCCCCCTGGCGACCCCTCCATTCATGCGCCCCTCCGAGACAGGGCACACACTTCTTGGAATTGAGACGGACGGGCGGGCAAGATGAGATGGAGGGGTAGCTTGACTACATATCTGTACTTGTATAAGTCCAAGTCGAGCATCTCATCTTTAAGGACAATGCTTTTCCATGATGGATTAATCGATCGTTGTGTTGTGCTTCCAGGTTCGCCCTCTTCAAGCAATAAAGTAGGTAGGCAGGTACTTCCAAGTTCACCCTCTCTGCCAAGTGCCCCGTTCGAGGTCAACAGTCAATGGAGGACCGATTGGACGTTGAACCATCAGGAACATCACACCTCGATTTCTGAGTCGTAATTGGGCTGCCCGTAGCTCAAAGTGGTGAGCTCTGTCAGCTTGGTCCCTCGTTCCGTGTCTCACCACCATCTTACCTCCCATCCATGTCCAGACGCCCGTCCCATCTACACTAGATGTCTGGCCCCGGGTCCGCTTCCCCGAACTCTTTCTTCACTACATGGCTTCATCTTCTTTCATCAAGCAGCCGTCCTTTTGTTTTCGTTCTTGTCAGTCCAGTCTCAATGCTGGCAAGTTGGTGGCACATTTTGGACATTGAGGCAATGTAGGTACGTAGGCGGCAACGCAGCCTTATTGCCTGCAGTGCACTATGTTACTACTGACGGAAGAGGCATGCCAGGCATCTCAACATCAAGCCAAGCGTCTTTGGATTATGTATGCTGCCTACGCGAACCCACGCATGGATCGAAATTGCATCCTTGGGATGCCTGGGGCGCGCCCTGAACGGAATCTTTTAGTGAACGATGCGTCATTTCGTTTCTACCACCCCAAAGCTGTCTTGATTTTCTACGTATGAAAGCACACTACGTAGGTACCTACATCATGTAGGTGTAGTCAGTGGTCTGCAGGGTCGGGTTGGGACGTCACTCAGTCCAGTCCCGTCACTGCAGGTGGTTGCGTTGCTGCGCCACGATCCCGTCACCTCGTTCGTCACGTTGGTGAATGATTGCATCAGAACCAAACTATCGATATAATCGATGGAAGCTTTTCTGAGTCGGGTCTCTGTGTGTACTATTTTCCCAGTATCGGCTAGTGCAGGCTTGACGGGCATCATGCACTTACTGCTGCAGGAAGGTACTATGTACAGGTAACTGATCAAAACTGCCAGGGAACAAGGGATCCCGTCATGTCGTGAATGAGGCAAGGACGTCCCTTGGACTTTCTGGGCTTTTCTGGGTCCAGTCCGATGTTGCGTTGCGTTGAGGTTGGGGCGGGATGTTGGGGTTTGCCATGCCATGGATGTTGGGGGTCACACACCTAACACCACCCACCACAGTCCAGTTCCCTTCTCTCCGGGCAGTGCACTCCCCCACCCACCACTACAATGGAGGTTTCAAACCGAAACAAGAGCTTGGGCCTCTTGATACCTAGCTAGGTACCTACCTACCTCTAATGCTCTGACCGCGAAATAATCTAGCAGATGAGATTGGCCTCAGTTGAGGAATGGCCTCCCCTGGCCTCATGGGCTTCCGCGGTCTCCGCGGACATTAGAGAATCGAGGCGATGAATGTGATGAGATTGAGTACAGAGGTAGGCCAGGCCTTCCTGGCTTTTCGAGCGCCATGTTACAATACCTAACGTCAGCCAGTAAGGTCTGGATGGAGTCCACGCAGCGAGGTTCGGTGGACAAATCCATGTTAAGCCGCGGATACCCCATGCTCCATAGCGTACCATCACTGCAGGTGGACGGATTCGGTTTCGGACTTGGGTATGCGAGGCAACCAGAAAACATAAGCAACCTAAGACAAGCGCGCGGACAGCGGAATGGGGGTTCTTCGCTTGGTAGAGGTAGGTAGGTACGATGTATTTGTAAACAGAAAAAGAGCTCCGGGTACAGTCCCTTCCGTTCGTGTTCAAAGTTCTCGTCTGCCTATCTGGTAGACGTGCTGAAAACATGAGCTGGGTCAGACAGGCGCCAAAACGGTAGTAACTGTTATCGTGACCGAAGAGCTACACGGCTCTGAACAGCTGCTCTTTTTCCTTGAACTGATCTGATAGCAATCCCAAGACTTGTGTCGCGGCTCTAGGTAGTGTACACTACCATAGCAAATGAGGCATCGCACAACAAATTGCGCCGCGTCCAAGCAACATGCTGTAAGCCGCCTACCGCGCGTGCGGAGCTTAGGGGTCAATTAGGGGTCAGGGCAGTTCCGGCGTGCATGTGCAGGGGACCAGCCGGCGAAAGGGCCCACCGCATGTCAATGTGTGAACCTCGGTGTTGGAGAAAAACGTAGTTTTGATATCTGAATGTTGTAAAGTTGATATCTACATTTAGTAGTAGTATGACTTGTGCACTGCAAGCGCGAGCTAGGTCCACTTCCGCGGACGTCAAAGCTTCTGGCACCAGCTCAGCATCGAGGGCCCGGCCACACCAAAGGTCCAGTTGCGATGGATCTGTCAAGTGTCAGTCGTTCAAAATACAAAGTCCCTTTCTTTGATGAATGGATACCCTCGCAACCGCGCAAGGATTTAATCGCAAGCTTCATTGCTTGTCCATCCCCAGTCCGCGATTATTGATGGTAGTGAGCTTGGTCCAGATGGAGCTTCAGTTGCCTGTAGTGTAGTGTAGAGGTAGTCACGGTTACTACAGTAAATGCGCTTCGGATTTCAACTGTGTGAGTTTCGACCACTGAAATATCCCACTGGTTTACACACTGTGTCTCTCAGACTGCCGCTTCATTGGCTTTGCAGTCAGCGGATCGATGTTCCTGGCCGCTTACAGAGCCCTGGATCCCTGATCACTCATGCTTCTCAGAACTCAGGGACTTGTTGTCAGGTTTCAACATAGCGTCAAGGTATAAATAGGACCTGAGCAGGATTGCCAGTCTCGAGAGAACACCGGATCTTTAAATCACGTGCTGTTGATAGGAGCAATGATAGCAGTTTGATGATAGGGAAGAAGCTCCTTATCTTCTCTGACTGTCTTTGCTTACATATACTATCTCAAGTGAATTGGTATTGTGTCCAGATCTGCTATGCACATTTTTCTAAATGGATGTCGAGATTGGTGCGGATTACGAACCATGGGTATAAGAATAAGCAAACCACAAAGAGGCATCAGAGGATAGTCTCTCTTGAGAGGCTAATAGGAGCTCCAAAACTTTCCAGTTTATCCTATAATCGAACAAACAAACCAGCATTTTACAATATTGTGTCCTACTGCCAATAAACAAGACATGATGGTCTCCCAAAGTCAACCCTATAGTGGCAACAGTCAAGCTCTCAATGGTATGTCCGGGCAAAACCCGCAGAAAATACGTGATTGGTGATAAGTAGCCGCAATAACCCCGTCTCGCCCTTTTTTTGGTTTCTCGGGCAAGCCCAAGGCATGAACCACACGGCACTAGCGTAGGTAGGTCGCGTTGGGTCTCGGGGTCTGTCTGACACCATCCATCTCGAGGGCTCATATCGATAGGACGCCCGCGGATGCCTGTATGCCATGCCCATGCCATGCGCTGCAATGCCCTGTTGGTGCCGATGGCTCCCACTTGGATCTGGCAGTGACTGTATGTACCAGACATGGTCAATGTGAGTGGAGGGCAGCATGTACAGTCAACCACGTCACCCTTGAGGAGGGTGAAAAATGATATCAGACCTGACATTTCTTGGGCAAAAGAAAGGCAACCGCGGAATGGGAAATGGCAATGCCATTGTACACTAAGGAACTGGTACATCAGAAAAGCTAGTAATTGAGCCTCTTCTCTGGGCCTCAGGGAGAGGCCATTGCCATTGAGGCCATTGAGGCCATCTCATCCACATCTCGGGCCTCATGCCGCTCCAAGTGGTGGCATGGCATGTCGCAGTGTAGAAGGAAGGCCGCATTTCTTTGTTCTTTTTGTGCCAAGTGCAAAGTCTCGATCCGAACCTGTGACCTAAGAAGGGCTGTGATTCGCAATTGAAATGAGCAGCTAAGCGAGTCGGGATGCCCAACAAAGGAAAACGGGCCATTGCGACGAAAATTTAAAGGATTCATCATGTATACCACTGCCCATAGTGGATACGGACTGTTGAGCTTGGTGATGGTATCTCCCAAAAGCAAAGTGAAGGTAACTTCTGATGAAAGACACGCATCGGAACCAAAAAGTATCAAGAGGCTGTGAACAAATGAATGTAGGAAGTGAACGAAAGGGAGAACATGCAGATAAGGTGCAGCAGGCTAGTACAAAAGCGGAAACGGCTGCGAAAAAACTGGTCAATCAGAGCGAGGCTTGTCCAACGCGGCCCAAGGTAGCATTGAAGCCGACGGGCAAGAACTGCTGCAGCAAAAAGAGTCCGAGGCAGAAGCATCAGATACCCTGTTCCTGACGATGGGGAGGAAATCTAGAAGATCATCAGTTGTGTCTGTCATCCACGTGTTGTGCTACTGATGTTTTGTGGTTGCTGTCGGGGCGAATCTGGAGGCTCAACTTGCCGGCCTGTTGCAGTCGCAGATCGGCCATCGAACATCCCGGCCTTGATCAGTCAGGTTAGAGTGGGTCCCAGATATCTATCTGATCATCCAAGAAGAAGAAAAGCACACGCGTATTTCGAAAAGTCAGGGTCGGCCGCGCAGCAGATGCTCCGGCTGACGACTGACTGCCGGTTGCGACTGTGCCAAACAAACTGTGGTCGGTACGGATGGTGTCGACCAGACTGAAGGATACCTAGTGAAATATGATGAGAGGGAGATGCATGGTTTCAAGAGGCGCAAATCACTAGGTAGCTACGTATGCAAGTTGTTTCTTTGGATGGACGACCATATAGCAATTGACCGCACCGAGTGGACGAACAGACAGTGATGTCATTTTCCATCTTCCCAGTCTGGTGCACACACATCATGACCATGCCGCGGACATAGTACATACATGAATCGTTTGCAATTGCCCCAGACAAGGAGGGCGGAAGTCTAAGAGGCCATGCCCGCCGTGCTCCAAGTTCGCTTGTTCAACGAAGTGGGAGATGCCGATGGCCTCTTTTGTTGTCTCAAGAACAACTTGTTGCAGATGCCTGGAACGTGGAGTGGCAGCAAGCCGAGTGACTCTCTTAGACGCTTGATTATCATCCCTCATTGGTCAGAGAATGACTGAATCGTTTCCATTGGCTGACCTCAATCGACAGGGTCCAGCTATCCTAAGCAGACTTGGCAAGACTTGCATAGTATGGTAGTATGGTAGCAGGTACGAAGACGGACGAGGGCCGCTGACGGTTCATCAACGGGGTCACCTGCGCAACTCTGGCGACCAAACCGGCCGGTAACAGGTGGATCGGCCTGTCACTTGCGCTATCCAGGTATTTCTCCGGTACCAGCGCAGGTAGGTCAGGGCGCCATGGTGTGTTGCAGTTTCACAGGGGTTTTTGCTCTAAAACGTGTGGTTCTGGTCGTGATGTGATGCTTTGGACAAGGAAGAGAACAAGGCGATGATGGCGGCCCGGCGGCGATATCATCAACGGGCGGCGACGGGAATGATAAGTGACGGTTAACAAGACCCTGTGATGCAATCAATATACACTATCATGTATACAAGTACAATACACATGTAATGAGTGCATTGGTGTTGACACGCATATAATCATCTACATATAACGAAACTGAAATGCAATCAATGGAAGTCTGCAACTTGGCCAGCCAAAGCCAGAAACAGAAGAGAACCTTCAACGAAGCAGATGCCGGTCTCATCATTTTAACATCCGAGGCGCTACGTCCATTTCCAAATCGTGACCGAAGCTGCTCTTGCCTTGTAGAGTGCAAGTTCCGTCGGGACAATGTGGAGGCCGGGGCGGGCGGGCGGCCTTGAAAATGCCCAGAAACAAGGGCGTGCAAGTGCGTTCAAGTGCTGGGTCTCGCCCTGAAGCCCACAACTTTGCCAAGGTCCATCCAACGTTTCCTGACCTGGGGAGTAGGTTCAGTTAGGTAGTGCCATCCATGCTCCAAGTGGCCCCACTACAGTACCCTCGAGTCACCATCGAGGATTCTCCACACAGTGACACACCTCGTTAGAGCCTCGATGTTCCTCTACACACTGCAGTTACGACCACGGCATAGTACCTACTACCCTATTACGCAGTACATACCTCTATGACGGGACAGGAACATGGAAGCCAGTACCTAACCTGGCTGGATAAAGGGTCTCCAATGACCTGTCATATCACGGCATTTATTTCATCCAGTCATCACAGCTTCCAAAGTGGAAGTCGTCAATGCCAGCCGAGCCGATGGAGATTTTTAGTAGAGGTACTGTAGTACTGTAGTTCACAGTGGGACACGGTCACAGTACTAAGCAGCACTGCACTCACTTTCACTTCACTCAGTAGGTGCACAGTGAACTGCGAACTGTTTTGTCCGTCCCCCTCCAGGCGTCCACTTTTGCCCCCCCGGTCCAGCATTTGGCCTTCTGCTTTCTGCCCCTTCCACGCCGCCCTCACCACGCCGTCCACGTCCGCCGTCTCTTTCCTTCCACTCGAGTCACAGTTCCGGTCGGGTTTTGCACGGCACAGCATTCGAAACAACCGATCAACAGAATTACACCTAACAATCAACAGGTTCGAACAGCAACAAAAATAATATCGAGCTACGGTGAAACAACTGAACAGACTAGGTAGATGTCTAGTAGAGACGGACTTTGGAGTTGACGCCAGCGAAATTGCCATCTGTCTGTTTTTGTTGTTGTTGTTGTTATTGCTGTTGTTGATGTCGTCGGAATCCCTAGCATGCTGCCGCTGATTCGGGGCGCTGTACTGTTATTCTCTCGGACCACCACTACCACCGCCGCCGCCACCACCACCACCATCAAGACGCCCACCTCAATCAATCCCCACCACAACCATCTCTACTACTAGCAACTCCCATCGTCGTCGTCAAAGCTACAGCCCGCGGTCAGATCTCCCAAATAACTGCCCACTTCAATCGGACGAGATTATTCTGCCGTACGATATCCAAATACCAGACGATTAGGTACCCATCGATCTCGCCTGTCATCGGCTATACGCTGCTGTATCTGTCGGGCGGTACCTGAACCAAAACAGCGTCCCCCAGCCCTCTTCTACAGCCGACTGAGCTTCGCTGCTCTTCCCTTTGACAACAACCCAAACAACAACCTAGCATTTGTCGCCTCGATTCTTTCCGTGCCACCCGCACAAAGCTTGTTTGATCCATCATACTACCAACAAGCTTTCAATTGATCCTGTATTGCCCTTTCCCCTTCTTCCTCTTTACCACACACAATGCCTCTCTCGAGCGACCCCGCCGGCAAGCTCGAGGTCGACACCAACATGTCCAACAACTCGACAACGTCGGCATCCCCGTCGCCGACCAGTGGGAAACCTCCCGTTGCTGGTGATGACCCTGGTATGCCCAATACATGCCCCTCTGCTGCTTTGCTGCTTTACTACTTTGCTTAGCACCCCTCCGCGGGATCGCCTTATCCATTGCTGCCCACTTCCATGCTTTCCTCGAGCCCTGTCAATGACCATCAATCGTCGCGTGGTCTTCCCATTCCTCTTGGACCTTGAGCTGCTTGGCTGACCATGAATGGCTGACTTTGAAAGCCGCGACCATCACAGTGAATACCCAAGTCCCCGCTGCTCCTGCCAACAACTTCCCTCCACCCAAGACAGACAAACCCCGGCCTCACGTCTGCGGAACATGCCAGCGGTCCTTTGCCCGTCTGGAACACCTCAAGCGCCATGAGCGATCCCATACCAAAGAAAAGCCCTTCGAGTGCCCAGATTGCGCAAGATGCTTTGCCCGCAGAGATCTGTTGTTGAGGCACCAGCAGAAGCTACATCAGACTACCACCCCATCGTCGCGTCCTCGCAATCGTCGCGAGAGCACGAGCGCGCCTATGGCCGGTGGTAACAACCGGGTCCGCAAGAATAGCGTCGCTGGCCCTGGCCCCAATGCTGCCGCCCAAGCAGCAGTCACTGCTGCCATGCGGCCTCGAGCAAACACCATTAGTCACGTCGACACTACGACAATGCAGTTGATCGCTGCGGCCAATGCTCAGGCGGCCAGGGCTATGCCACCACAACACAGCCGACATCCCAGCTTGGCTGGCTTCCCTCACCACAACTTTGATCATCACGCTTATACCGGCATGGCCAACGCCATGGTGCAGCGCGGGGTTCCTCACGGACTCCCCAAACTGGAGACTCATACCATGAACGGCATGGACTTCTCTACGGGCTTGAGGACAGCTCCCATCATGCCCTTCAACCCAGAGTTCGACTTCGGGGACCCCTCGATGCTGTTTAGCCCGGCCTCGACCATCAACCCCAATGCACTTCATTACAGTGATTCGCCGAACCTGATGGGCGTAGACCCCTTGTCTCCCTTTCCACACGGGCTTCCTGATATGACAGGCGGCCAGCATCTGGATGATAACTTTGACTGGCTACAAGGTTTTGACCAGCAAATGTCCTTCAACAACGATCTTCACGACCATGTCATTGACCGATCCTCGCCTTCGGCCATTAGCACTGCCAGCCAGAGCGGCATCAGCGACGTAATGGTGGATGGATCGAACCACCGCGCTCCCGCTGTGGAGACGAGCTCGATCTGGCAGGGCAGTATAATGGGGCCCCCGCAAATACCCAACTCGTTTTCTCTCGGCGACATGGGCAACACCGTATTCCCCGATCTCTTGACCGGGATCCCCCTTTCGCCGCAGCCCGCTCCATCCAGCAAGAATATGGGCGATGCCTACTTTTCGACACCACCGTCCTCAATGAACTCGCTAAGTCCCAACATATTCTCGGGCCTCAATGGTCAAAACATGAACAATGCACTGAACAATTTCGGTGCCGGCCCGGAGACGCCGTCGTCCATGAATGGTAGTACTCATGGCACCTTACCCGTCTCGACAATCACTGATTCAACAAGACATGCCATCCTAGGTGCCCTGACGGCCTCCCAGGCTTCCCAGTTCGGAGCTCGAAGATACTCGTACGCGACAACCAGCAGCTCCCCGTTGCCGACACAATCGCCGACGACAACCACCAGCACCGAGCTCCCCAACACCCTCCCGAACACCCACGATCTCCAACGATACGTCAGTGCTTATCTGCGATATTTCCACCCACATCTGCCGTTCCTCCACATACCGACACTCTCGTTCGACGTTCCCACGCTCCCGGTTAACGGACAGGATAACGGTATTGGCGGAAGCGGCTGCCTTCTCCTTTCAATGGCGGCGATCGGTGCCCTCTACGAGATGGAGCAGCAGATATCGATGGATTTGTTCGGTATGGCGAAAAAGATGATCCAATTATACCTTGATGAGAGAAGAAAAGCAAACGTTAGGAAGGCAGATTTCCGACGACCGTCCATGTCGGAGCATACGTTACAGCAGCAGGAAAACCCGGTAGAGACGCCCGTCTGGCTTGTTCAAGCCATGCTCCTCAACGTCATTTACGGCCACAATTGCGGCGACAAGCGTTCCGGCGAAATTGCGTCAACCCACGCTGCCGCGCTGGTAAGTCTGGCCCAAGGAGCTGAGCTGCTGAACCCGATCAGGATCGAGCCCAGCGTCGATATCGATACGATGGATATGGATGTAAGCTGGAACGCGGCAGAGGTGGAATGGCTCCGCTGGAAGTCCATGGAGGAGAGGAAGCGGACGCTCTATACCGTGTTTATTCTTTCTAGCCTCGTGGTATCCGCTTATAACCACACGCCAGCCTTGACCAACTCCGAAATCTTCCTCGACCTCCCATGTGATGAAGAGTTCTTTGCTGCGGATTCCAGTCAAATCTTTCATGCTCAGGGTGGCGTCGCGGCCGCAAACCATAACCGGATGATGTTTCACGAGGCCCTGGGGGCACTCCTCCAGAGACAGAAAGTGGCTTCAAGGTTGGCGGACGGCAACGATTTTTCCACCACTAACCTTCCGAAGCCAAGCACGTTTGGTTGTCTTATTCTTATCAATGCCCTGCACAACTACATCTGGGAAACTCGCCAACGCCACCACAACAAGGTTTGGACGAATGAAGAGACTGAAAAGATGCATCGACACATTGAGCCAGCTCTTCGCGCGTGGAAAGCCGTATGGGAGAGCAATTCCCACCATAGCCCAGAGCGTCCAAATCCGTTTGGTAAGGGGCCGCTTGCCGCTGATGCCATTCCGTTGCTTGATCTTG